ATTTGCCCCCAAAATGTGATCAATTGTTGTGTGTCTTTGTCTCATGTCTATCACATCATGTGCAATCTGTATCATATATAAGAAGTGCATGTGTCCGAAATTTGCCCCAAAAATGTGACCAACTGTTGTGTGTCTTTGTCTCATGTCTATCATATGTGCCATGTGCAATATGTATCATATATAGCAAGTGCATGTGGGCGAAATTTGCCCCAAAAATGTGACCAACTGTTGTGTGTCTTTGTCTGAGGTCTAGCATATGTATCATGTGCAATATGTATCATATATACCAAATGCATGTGTCTGAATTTTGCCCCAAAATGTGACCAACTGTTGTGTGTCTTTGTCTCATGTCTATCATATGTATCATGTCAATATGACTCATATATGACAAATGCATGTGTCTGAAATTTGCCACAAAAATGTGACCAACAGTTGTGTGCTTTTGTCTCATGTCTATCATATCATGTGCAATATGTATCATATATAACAAATGCATGTCCCCGAAATTTGCCCCAACAATGTGACCAACTGTTTTGTGTCTTTGTCTCATGTCTAATATATTCATGTGCAAAATGTATCATGCATAACAAATGCATGAGGCCGAAATGTGCTCCAAAAATGTGACCAACTGTTGTGCGTCTTTGTCTCATGTCTATCATATGTATCATGTCAATATGTATCATGTATGACAAATGCGTGATTCTGAAATTTGCACCAAAAAATGTGATCAACTGTTGTGTGTATAACAAATGCATTGTGTTGCCTCAAAAATGTGACCAACAGTTGTGTGTCTTTGTCTCCTGTCTATCATATCATGTGCAATATGTATTATGTATGACAAATGCATGTCCCCGAAATTGGCCCCACAAATGTGACCAACTGTTGTGTGTCTTGATCTCATGTCTAATCTATTCATGTGCCATATGTATCACAATAAGGAATGTATGAGGCCGAAATTTGCCCCAAAAATGTGACCAACTGTTGTGTGTCTTTATCCCATGACTATCATATGTATCATGTGCAATATGTATCATGTATGACAAATGCGTGTTTCTGAAATTTGCACCAAAAATGTGATCAACTGTTGTGTGTTTTTGTCTTAGGTCTATCAGATGTATCATGTGCAATATGTATCATATTTAACAAAGGCATGTGTACGAAATTTGCCCCAACAATGTGACCAACTGTTGTGTGTCTTAGTCTCATGTCCAGGAAATCAATGGCAATATGTATCATCTATATCAAATGCATGAGTCTGAAATTTGTCCCAAAAATGTGACCAACTGTTGTGTGTCTTTGTCTCATGTCTATCATATGTATCATGTGCAATATGTACCATATATAACAAATGCATGTGTCAGAAATTTGATCCAGAAATGTGACAATATGTTGACTAACCTGCTTGTGAGTGTGAGTTGTCCTATCAGTGTGAGAACCCCGTTTTGAAACACGAGCCGCCCTCAACCTCATCCTCCCTCTCTGGCCCCCCCCAGCCCCTAGAGGCCGCGGGCCCCGCCTCTCACGGCGCCCCCCTTCGGGTCCCTCCAGTGCGCCCCATCGGGAACTCAAGCGAGAGCACTGTTTTGAAACAGGAGCCCCCCTCAACCTAATCCTCCGTGCCCTCTCTGGTCCCCCCCAGCCCCTAGAGGCTTCGGGCCCCGCCTCTCACGGCGCCTCTCCTCGGGTCCCTCCAGAGCGCCCCATCGGGAACTCAAGCGAGAATCCCGTTTTGAAACAGGCCTCCCTCAACCTTATCCCCCTGGCCCACCCCGGCCCCCAGAGGCCTCGGGCCCCGCCTCTCACGGCGCCTCCCCTTGGGTCCCTCCAGAGTGCCTCATCGGGAACTCTTGTTTTGAAACAGGAGCCGCCATCAACCTCACCTGCTTGTGAGATTGAGTTGTCTGATCAGTTTGACACATGTATGTGCTTCGTTTCCGTTCGTATGGACTTTGGCACTTTCCCACAGCATTATGTGTGTGCCTTAGCCATTGGGGCCCCAGTCGTATATTGCTTTTCGTATCTCTTTCCATATTTGCACGCGCGTCTGTATCGTTGGCAATGGCAGGGCAGTGGGACGAACAGACTGGGGAGCATATCCCATCCAACGAGGAGGTGGCCGAGGGTATGAGGCGCTGGTCTGTGTCACCCGGCGGGGGCGGATTGGTATTCCAATGGCTCGAGGCTCAGGAGAGACAACAGTACCACATAGCTAGGGGGGTGGCCGCTCACTCTTCGAGCTGGTGGTTCCTTCCGGGCATGCCTCCAGAGAGTGCCTGGGACGAGGTGCCACCAGCTCGAGGGGGAGGCGCGGCCACCCCCTTAGCTGGTGGTATTGGTATTTTTTCTCTCCTGAAAGGTGCTGCGCGAGACCGCGTGGTTCGCGACCGCAGTGTATTTTCCGTGTATGTGGCAGGGGCTCACGGGTGTATGCCTGTGTGTGTCGACCGCGGAGAGCACGCGCCGTTCAAAGGAGAACGGTATGGTCGAGAACCAGCGGCGTATGGGAGGCATCGAGACCCCAGAGTGGATGGCGTTCGCTGTATACTTCTACCCTGGCTTGGTATTCGGCAACTTTGATGGTTTCAAAGGTCCAGCCGCGCAGTATCTGGGCACACTTGCGGAAGTATTCAATCGGCTGTGCACCCAAGCTGGTATAGCGAACTGGAGTTCGCACGTATTCGTCCGACCCGGCGGCTGGGTGTATGCTGGCTTGCGCAGGCTGTTGCAGCTCCTGCGTATTCACGTGCATTCCGAGGTGGTATCAGGTCTGTCATACAGGCGCATGGCGAGCCTGGATGTATTTGTGGCAACACACACGGCGTCCATGGGCATGGAGCCGCCATGTATGGCTCTGTGGAATGCCTCCCACGACGTCAAGGATGGTATCACCTTGTTCCCGAAGCAGGATCATTGGTGGCACATGCCTGTATGGCGTTCTTTCGGGCAGTCCGAGTATGGGAATGTCATGGATTACCGTGTGGATCTGGGTATGCCGGCGCATGTCCAGGGCGTCCTGGCGGCATTGGCGCCCCACGGACGCACGGGCGACGTGTCCGCGAGGAGGCGTATCGGCACCATGCTGGGACACTTGGCCCCTGATGTATGGGTGCCAGGAGCGCAGCTTGCAGTATTGCGCCCGATGCGTGCCATTAGGGACAGGCGCATGCCAGAAGACGATGAGCACACAGACTCGTCTCTTTAGTATGCTTCCAGAGCACGTATGCGTCCGCCTCGCCTTGTCCTGCTGCTGCTCCTCCTCCTCCTCCTCCGGCGGGGCACCCGTGGGGACAACCGTCGGGACCACCATCGGAACAACCATCGCGGCAACCATGGGGACAACCGTCGGGACAACGATCGGGACAACCACAACCATCAGGACAACCGTCGGGACAACCATCGGGACCATCGGGACAACGATCGGGACCACCATCGGGGCAACCATCGGGAGAACCATCGGAACAACAATCGGGACAATCATCGGGACACTCATCGCGACAATTATCGGGACAACCACAACCATCAGGACCTCCAACCAGAGAGAGGTAGTCACGTGTATTTCGTCGACGAGTGAGCCAGTATTGCACATTGAGGCCGGAACGAGAACCACAGAACAAGAATGAGCATATATCGTCTCACAACAACGGAAACAAGTCCTGTGGTATGCTGGCGCCACGCACGTGATACCAGTCAAAATAAGGGTCTTGGCTTGTGTGGTACAGAAACGTTAAAACGTCGGAAAACGGTACACGTGCCCATTGTTGGAACAGGGGTATAAGTCGTATACTAAGCTAGTTTCCACAAGATGTTACCACAAGAAGTCATTGTAACCATGCGCCAGTGTAGTAGCCAAGGTCGTCCGCAGGCCACGAAGTGAAGTGTCCGAACGTCATAGGGCGGGAAGCTGGGTGTGGGTGGTGGCGAAGAGTCGTTTGGAAATTTGGTAGAGCTTGAACCGGCCCCCCCACAAAGTGGGGGTATTGCCCGCCTCCTATGAAAACCCTGGCACTGGTGAGAACGGAGTGTCCCCCAGTTGTTGTTGTTGTTGTTGTTGTTGTTGTTGTGTTGTTGTTGTTGTTGTTGTTGAACATTATTTATTCTAAAGAATAATTATTGTTGGGCCCCCTGGTGCACGCCCCCCCTGCGCCGCCTAGGCCGCAGCTACATTTTCATCATTTTCGTGAGGAAGCCTCAGGTAAAACGATGTGATCCAGATCCGGTTGTTTTGTTGTAATCCGTTTTCCCTTGCAAAAAACACTATAAAATGACATTTCTTGTTCTAATATAATCAAATTTCAAGAATCCCTTGCAAAAAATAAGGTAAAGTGGACATTCGCGCGCGCAAGACGAAATCCTTCCAAAAGCTTAGTGTTCGGAGCGATTTTAACATAAAAACATCAAAAAACCAATGGTTTTTCAACAAAAAAATGTCAAAATCTCATCCCGCGCGCTCTTGCGGATTCGTAGGAAACCCAACACTTTTTAAACATTTCTGTCAAACGGGCTTTTGCGAGCAACTTTTTCGAACTTCTGCGACAACGGTTGCGCACCTGCCAGGGCCATCATCCCTGTCAAATAATACCATGCGGGACACATTCGTTTTTTCTTCGCGCGCGCACGCCGTCGTCGTCGGCCGCGGGGCCCTGAATAGTAGCCACGGTCGTCCGCATGCCACGAAGTGAAGTGTCCGAACGTCATAGGGCGGGAAGCTGGGTGTGGGTGGTGGCGAAGAGTCGTTTGGAAATTTGGTAGAGCTTGAACCGGCCCCCCCACAAAGTGGGGGTATTGCCCGCCTCCTATGAAAACCCTGGCACTGGTGAGAACGGAGTGTCCCCACGTGCTAGTAATTGTTGTTGTTGTTGTTGTTGTTGTTGGTCGTCGTCGTCGTCGTCGTCGTCGTCGTCGTCGTCGCCATCGTCGTCGTCTCCTCACACGTCTTCGTCATCCTGCTTCTGGTCGGCGTCTTTCGCCTTGCACCTCTGCATCTGCTCATGCCGCAGCAGGCGCTGTACGAGAAGAACAAGCCCGAGATGGAGATAGGCCTCGAGGGCGTGAAGACGGCGCTCAAGGTGGCAGGAGGAGAAAACAGTGAGAGCACCAACACCTCCGCAGTCTCGGGCGGACGGCAACGGGGCGGGAGTAGACAGCGGAAGTAGACAGGGGGTGATACAAATGCGCAACTCTCCATCACCTGCTTGGGCCGCGACGGCATGTTTGAGGGTCCTCGAGGGCCCACTCTAGCCAGCTCATCGGGGGCTCTAAAAAGGGGCCCCGAGGGATGGGCCCCTGAGGGATAGGAAAGGGCTTCCAGGTTGAGTAAACCTGCACGGCTCAAGACTTCCTCGATCTAGGGCTCTATGCCTCAGGGAGGTCTAATGCAGCATCGGCCCTATTATGTTCGTGGTCGAAAACCAGCCCAATCCGACACACTCCCGCCTCTTTCTGGTTAGTCTTCTGAGATCTGGTCTGCTCTGGTCCCATCCTAGGCTTCATCTGGGCTAATCCTGCTGAATGGCTGCAACAATCGGACTTAATTATTGTTAGTCGTTCTTTCGACGACCTCCCGGGAGTTGCTTCCCGGCCCTAGTGGGCACCAGCCGTTTTCATAAGCTTTTTCCTGGAACGTGAAAATAGGGGCAAAGCATTACGCGAAACCGACAAAAAACCGGCCCCAGGAGTCGAACTGGGGAAATGAACGGCGCCGGAGCCGGCATCCAAATCGGCAAAAAAAGGCCTTGCTGTTGCCACCGCCGGTGCCGCCTGACCGACACCGCGCGCTTCGCCTTGTCGTTTCCAGCGCCAGAATTTCTGGACCATCTTGAAAGCATCTTGTTTCATCTGGGCAAATGACACGCACGAACCCAAGCAGAGCACGTGGAAGGACGTCCGAGCGATGGCAGGCCACCGGGTTTAATACAGTGCCTAATCTTTCTTACGAGGAGTCCCAAAGGGTTGCTTCCCGACCACCCTTGAAGTGCAGAGCTCGGGCCTTGGCGGGCAGGTCCTCAGGGACTACTACGCGTCCGATGACAAGGCGCACTCGTCCGCGGATGGCGCCGCGGCCGGCATCGTCGGGCTCCGCAGGGGCGGGCGGGGCTTGGTGGCTTGGGCTGGCCTTGATCAGGAGAAAACAGCACAGAAACAGCATGACTCGTCGATGTCCAGGGGAATGCGGAAAATGTGGGGAGTGGATGGGAAGAGGACCATCCAGAGGATGTGGAACATTGTGTGGAGTCCTGGGATTTGTGTCTATTTGTCTGCACCTCCCCGGGCTCTTTTACTTTAGGTGCAACGTTCATGAACAGATCACGACGTCGGGGGTCTGGGGAGGGCCCCCTAGGGATGGGCCCTGGGACGAGTGGCCTCAAGCATCGATGCGTCAGCTTGGGACCCTCTTCCTGTCCTGAGGTCCGGGCCAACGTCACGGGGGGGGGGGATCGGCTCACGGGGGGGGGGGATGCCTCGACCCGAGTCGCCCTCTGCTCGCCAGTGCAATGAGGGTCCGAGGCCCACCCCGCCCAGGAACGTTCCGATCCGCCATCCGGCGCCTATCACCGATCAGTCTGCGATCTATTACGATCTGTTGCCGATTCCAGGTCTGTGCTTCCCCCCCCCGAGCCGGGTCCCCTTTTCCTGACGTTGCCCCTCTGGCCTGGAAGTCCCAGGGGCCGCTGGGGGTGGGGGGGGCGACCGCTCGGGCGGGGGGGACGGCTTGTGGATGCGAAACGCACAGCCTGCCCTTTCGACCTGCCGCCAGGGGCGACAGAGAAGAGTTGTTCATAAGGAAAAGAATTGGAGGAGGAGGAAGAACATGCATGAGGACGACGGCGAAAGACAAGGGGCAAGGCACGAGGGAGAAAAGGAGCAGTGAGGAAGAGGCAGGGAGATATGCCGGAGTGGGCCCTGTCAGCAAGCGTGAACAGGCCTCGCTCACGCTTCATGTTCTCAGGGATCTCATGATCATGTGTGCCGACTGTCCTCCCGTGCTTCGTGCGCGCGTTGTCGCGCCGTTGGCTTGGAACTGATGTTGCTGTTGGCCTCACGCCGAGCAACAGAACTACGGGTGTGTGTGTGTGGAATTCCTGGATCGTCGCTGGACTTCCTGGCGCGCGGTGCGCGCGTGTGGCAGCGCCGTGGGCGCCTCCAGTGGGGTCCAGCGGCGATCGAAGAAATCCGCGCGGACCTCCGACAGTTTATGCAGATGCCCAATTGTTGTTCCTATACCATGGTCGGTAGATCGGAGAGCCGGCAGTCAGCAGTTGGATCTGGGGGACCATGAAGCCAAAAATTGACCTGCCGAGGCTCCTAGAGGTGTGCGAGTCCGACTTCTCCAAGAACCTCGCTGAGATCATCTCCACGGAGGAGGCCGCCGTCGCGGAGTACGAGGAGCAGACCAAGGAGCCCCGGGTTTGCCTAGAATAATCGGCGCTCAGGACGTTCATGCTTCTTTCGTTGACTCAGAGTTCTTGCCAGGGTCGCCTGCGATCCGACTCGATTCGCGGGCTGGACCCACGATTCCGATCCGATTCGGCTTGGGCCGACTCATCGGGTTCGGCTGGGCCTATCGGAGCCGGGCGCGACGATTCGCTTGCGATCCGATCCGTTTCCGACCCGATGCGTTTTCTCGATTGGATCCAGCCTGGGCCTGCCTGCTCGCTCCCGTCAGCTCGTGGGGCTGGCGGGGCAGGTGCCGGTGGGGATCCCCGCAGGGAGGGAGCGTGCGCCTCATCGCAGCCCCTCCCCTCTGCCCGAGGGACGGGTAGGGCGAGGGTTTCGCTTCGGTGCGGCTGGGGCACCTCTTCCTCACGCCCCCCCCCACTCGCTGAGAACAGTCGCTGCAGACAGCCAACTCGCCCTCTAGCAGTTCCACACTCGTGTCACTGTGCAAGTGCATGTTGGAGTTCACGTGCAGCACTGCACGGAGTGTATCGTTTGGCTTGCATTTGTACGTTGCATGCCGCATGCGTGCCTGATTGGATTTCAGTGTTGTTGAGGTTCCTGAGTTTCCAGCATGGTCGCGCGCCATTTCCAGGTGGGGTGCCAGTGGTTGCCCCTTTTGGCCCACTGCCTCGTGCCAGTCATCTCGGTCTCCTCGGTCACCCGCGGGGGCGCGAAAGTGATTTGCGCTGTGCGCCTCGCGGTCTGGGCCCGAGAGGCTTCCCTTTGCCATGGTGGCGGTGCTACAGCGCGAGGGCGCGAAGGTAATTGCGCGTCGCGATGCGCGAAGTTAGGTGACCTGGTCTCCCTTGTTGCTCCTGCTTCCACAGTTGCGGATGCGATGGGAGGGGAACGTGGAGGGAACTGTGCGGCGTGGCAGGCGCTAGTGGTCGAAGACATCCCCAGGCGGCCCATGCCCACCTGGACACTTGACATTCTGCTCGGGTTGCGGCGCCAACGCCTCCTTGAAGGTTATCAGAGAAAGGGGGCCGAGCGGGCATTCATTGTCTATGGGTGTGTGGCTGAAGTGGAGTTCTGTGGCACGGACTCTGCTTGCGTTGTTGTTATTGGTGTTGTTGTTGTTGTTGTTGTTGTTGTTGTTGTTGTTGTTGTTGTTGTTGTTATTGTTGTTGTTGTTGTCGTTGTTGTTGTTGTTGAACATTATTTATTCTAAAGAATAATTTTTGTTGGGCCCCCTGGTGCGCGCCCCCCCTGCGCCGCCTAGGCCGCAGCTACATTTTCATCATTTTCGTGAGGAAGCCTCAGAAAAGAGGGTGTGTACAGGATCCGGTTGTTTTGTTGTAATCCGCTTTCCCTTGCAAAAAACAATAGAAAATGACATTTCTTGTTCTAATATAATCAAATTTCAAGAATCCCTTGCAAAAAATAAGGTAAAGTGGACATTCGCGCGCGCAAGACGAAATCCTTCCAAAACCTTAGTGTTCGCAACGATTTTAACATAAAAACATCAAAAAACCAATGGTTTTTCAACAAAAAATTGTCAAAATCTCATCCCGCGCGCTCTTGCGGATTCGTAGGAAACCCAACGCTCGGGACAGTCATCGGACAAGCACAACCATCAGGACAACCATCGGGACAATCATCGGGACAACGATCGGGACAACCACAACCATCAGGACAACCATCGGGACAACCATCGAGACAACCATCGGGACAACCATATCCTCTCTCTCTTGTGTATTCCCACATCCCTCAGGAATTTGCCCTAAAGATGTGATCAACTATCTTGTGAGTACGTATCATGTGTATCATGTGTATCATGTACCATATGCATCATATGCAACAGATGTTCTGTGGAAGGCTTAACAACTTCTGTGGGTTAACAAGGCTTAACAACTTCTGTGGGTGTACGAACGTAGGCTTAACAACTTCTGTGGGTGTGTACTCCACGCCAGTGTAGTAGCCACGGTCGTCCGCAGGCCACGAAGTGAAGTGTCCGAACGTCATAGGGCGGGAAGCTGGGTGTGGGTGGTGGCGAAGAGTCGTGTGGATATTTGGTAGAGCTTGCACTGCCCCCCCACAAAGTGGGGGTATTGGCTGGCGTCGCATGAATACCCTGGCACTAGTGAGAACACTGAGCGTTCGGGTAAAGTGATTGTTGTTGTTGTTGTTGCTGTTGTTGTTGTTGTTGTAGTTAGTGTTATTGTTGCTGTTGTTGCTCTTGCTCTTGCTCTTGCTGTTGTTTGTTGTTTGCTGTTGTTGTTGTTGTTGTCGTTGTTGTTGTTGTTGTTGTTGTTGTTGTTGTTTTTGTTGTTGTTGTTGTTGTTGTTGTTGTTGTTGTTGTTGTTGTTGTTGTTGTTGTTGTTGTTGTTGTTGTTGTTGTTGTTGTTATTTGTGTTGTTGCTGTTGTCGTTGTTGTTGTTGTTGTAGTTCGTGTTATTGTTGCTGTTGTTGCTCTTGCTCTTGCTCTTGCTGTTGTTTGTTGTTTGCCGTTGTTGTTGTCGTCGTTGTTGTTGTTGTTGTTCCTACTGTTGTTGTTGTGGTTGTGGTTGTGGTTGCGGTTGTTGTAATTGTTGTGGTTGTTGTTGTTTTTGAATATTCACTTCTAGATGATAATTATTGTTGATCTCCGGAAACGGTTCCGGGCGCTCTCGCCACGACGCCAGCTACATTTTCTCTGAAAACGAGGCTCCCGCTCGAGCGTTGGCTTGACCCTAAAAGTGCGCCCTTGGAGGCCCAGCTACGACAACAACGGTTCCGGCTCGATACTTTCTCACAAGAAGTTACCGTGAGACACCCTGGCCAGAGAGGCCTCCGAACTCAGGAACGGCGCTCTCGCTCGGCATTTCGTAGCAATTCAGCCAAGTTGGCGGGTGCCCAGCCACGACGACAAAGGGTGCTGCTCGATACTTCGACACGATTTACTCTGAGAGCCCCTGGCCAGGAAGGCCCCCCGAAATCAGGAACGGCGCTCTCGCTCGAGACTTCCCCATGATTCAGTCAAATTGGTGGAGGCCCACATGCGACGACAAGGGCTTCCGTTCGATACTTCCTCAAGATGTATTCGCAAAGGCCCTTGCCCACCGAGGTTCTGGCGCGCTGCCCACTGAGGCCCCCAACCCACAACCCACTGAGGCCTAGAGTAAGCCCACACGGACCGTAGCATGCTGCCCGCAGGCCCTCCGGCACAGCTCACATGGGCGCCAAACGCGCCCACAGAGGCTCCCCCGCGCTGCCCACAGAGGCCCCAAGCGCGCCCACAGAGGGCTCAAGCGCTGCCCATTGAGGCCCCCGACACAGCCTAAGGCTCCAGCCCACAGAGGCCCCAAGCGCGCCCACAGAGGCCCCCGCGCGCTGTTTGTTGAGGCCCTCCGGCACAGCCCACAAAGGCCCAAACCCCCGCGCCAAGCGTGCCCACGGATGCCCCAACGCGCTGCCCACGGAGGCCCCCCGTTCCACAAGGCCCCCGACACAGCCCACACGGGCCCCAGCCCACAGAGGCCCCGAGCGCGCCCACAGAGGCCCCCGCGCGCTGCCCACCGAGGACCTCTGGCACAGCCCACCGAGGCCCCAAGCGCGCCCACAGAGGCCCCAGCCCGCAGAGGCCTCAAGCGCGCCCACAGAGGGCCCAGCGTGCTGCCCACTGAGGCCCCCGACACAGCCCACAGAGGCCCCGAGCGTGCCCACGGGGGCCCCAGCGCGCTGCCCACTGAGGCCCCGACTTCCTACAGAGGCCCCACACGCGCCCGCAGAGGCTCCTGTCTACAGAGGCGGCAAGCGCGCCGAGGCCCCCGCACGCTGCCCACTGAAGCCCTCCGGCACAGGTCACAGAGAGGTCCCAGCTCGCCGACAGAGGCCCCAGCCCGCAGAGGCCCAAACGCGCCCACAGAGGCCCCAAGCGCGCCCACAGAGTCCCCAGCGCGATTCCCATTTTGGCCCCAGTCCACCGGCCCTAAGCGCGCCCACGGAATCTCCGGCGCGCTGCCTACTTAGGCCCCCCGACAACGCCCACTGAGGCTCCCGACGCAGCCCACGGGGGCCCCAGCCCGCAGAAGCCCCCGCGCGCTGCCCACCGAGGCCTCCGACACAGCCCACAGAGGCCCCAAGCGCGCCCACAGAGGCCTTATTCCGCAGAGGCCCCAAGCGCGCCCACAGAGGCCCCAGCGCGCTGCCCACTGAGGCTCCCGACGCAGCCAACAGGGGCCCCAGCCCACAGATGCCCCAAGTGCACCCACAAAGGTCTCAGCGCGCTGCCCACCGAGGCCCCCCAACACAGCCCACAGAGGCCCCAAGCGCGCCGACAGAGGCCCCAGCCCGCAGAGGCCCCGAGCGTGCCCACAGGCCTCCGCGCGCTGCCCACTGAGGCCCCCGACGCAGCCCACTGAGGCCCGAAACGCGCCCACAGAGGCCTTAGCCCGCAGAGGCCCCAAGCGCGCCCACAGAGGCTCCACCGCGCTGCCCACGGAGGCCCCCGACGCAGCCCACAGAGGCCCCAGCCCACATAGGCCCCAAGCGCGCCCACAGAGGCCCCAGCGTGCTGCCCACTGAGGCCCCCCGACGCAGCCCACACAGGCCCCAACGGCGCCCACAGAGGCCCCAGCCCGCAGAGGCCCCGAGCGCACCCACAGATGCACTAGCTCGCTGCCCACTGAGGCCCCCGACGCAGCCCACAGAGGCTCCAAACGCGCCCACAGAGGCCCCAGCCCGCAAAGGCCCCAGAGGCCCCAGCGCGCTGTCCACTGAGGCCCCCGACGCAGCCTACATAGGCCCCAGCCCACAGCGGCCCCAAGCTCACATAGGCCCCAGCCCGCAGAGGCCCCAAGCGCGCCCGCAGAGGCCCCAGCGCGTTGCCCACTGAGGCTCCCCAACGCAGCCCACAGAGGCCCCAAGCGCGCCCACAGAGGCCCTAGCCCGCAGAGGTCCCAGGTACGACGCTCTCGCATGAGACTTCTTCGCAATTCAATTAAGTTCGCGGATGCCCAGCCGCGACGACAAGACTCCCTTTCGATATTTGTTCGCGATCTGGGAGGCCCTGGCCAGAGAGGTTCCCGAACTCAGGAACAGCGCTCTCGCTGTGGACATCCTCGCAACTCAGAACAATTTGTGGGGACGCAGCCGCGATGACAAGGGCTCCCGCTCGATGCTTCCTCGCGATTTGCTCCGAGAGGCCCTCTCGCATGGTCCATCTTTCTCTTCGCCCGTCCGTCCTCCCCCTGTTTTAGGGGGTGCGCTAAATGTGCGCGGCAGGTAAGGAAGATATACCCCCGAGGGGGTACGGTCGAAGACAAAGAGGGCGGGTGTCGAGGGTTTGGAATATAAGTGTTGCGTGGCACGCGGTCAAATATGAATTTTATGGCTTAACCTGATTGTTGTTGTTGTTGTGGTTGTTGTTGTGGTTGTGGTTGTGGTTGTGGTTGTGGTTGTGGTTGTTGTCGTCGTTGCTGTTGTTGTGGTTGTTGTGGTTGTCGTTATTGTTGTTGTTGGTGCTGATGCTGTTGCTGCTGCTTCTGCTGCTGCTGCTGTTGTTGTTGTTGTTGTTGTGGCTGTTGTTGTTGTTGTTGTTGTTGTTGTTGTTGTTGTTGTTGTTGTTTGTCGAACTCGCATTTATAAAGCCCCCGTCCCAGGTAACCACTGCATTTTTTGATTCAAATGCCTTTCCTGGGGCTCGCACTCTGTTTTTAACAGCGGAAAGCTGGGTGTCACCAAACTGCGCCCCTAGCCCCACGTGTACAAGATCAGCTGCTCCCGCCTGATACTTCCTCACAAGTTATGCCCACATTTCGCTCTCGCGCGGGACGTCCTCACAACTTATGCAGAACTCACGCTCTCGCGTGGGACTTCCTCGCAATTTATTCAAACGCCGCGCCCTCGACACTCAGGAATCACGCCCTCGCTGCGAATTTCCTCACGATTCATTTAAGAAATGCGCTATCGCTCTAGACTTCGTCGCGATTCTTGCAGGACGCACGCTTCAGCAACCCGCCTGCTCCACCTACCAGCCCAGGCCAGTTGCAGACCCACCCGTTAGGGTCTACCAGTTGCGATCTGCCCGTTTGGCTCTTTGCGTGTTTTCTGCTCCTAGCCCCCCCCCTCCTGCTACTCGTTCCTTTCGTGCTCCATCCACCTCCCTTCCCCTTGTCCCTGCGTTCCATCCGTCTTCTCTTCCCCATCCGTAGGGGCTGCACGACGTACACGTTGCGGGTGATACATATATATATATATATATATATATATATATATATATATATATTTCCCAAGGGGGTACGATCGAAGACGAAGAGGGCGGGTATCGAGGGTTCGGGATATACGTGTTGAATGACACGCGGGCAGATAAGAGCGAACAGGCTTAACATGATTGTTGTTGTTGTTGTTGTTGTTGTTGTCATCGGCCGCGTATCGCTGGCGACCTACCCGCGATCCAACCCTACGACCCAACCCGTGACCCACCCGCGACCCACCCCGCAAACCCCCCGCGACCCACCCGCGACCAACCCACGTTGCATTGACCGAAAATCTGCGCATGGCGGCGGGCTCGTTGTGTACGTAGTGTGTGTTCAAATTCGCCGCCTGCGGCGGGCTCCTTCGGAGCTTCTCAGACTGCCGACGGCCCCGCCACCCCCTCACTCGTATCAGTGGCTGCGGGCCGCTACAGTTTGCCTACTCGCGTTCTGTTCAGTTTCTGTAGGCCGCTGGAATCTGAGGGCGGGGCGGGTGGGTGCTGGTTCCCGAGCCGTCGCGTTGAGCCCGCTCTCCAGGCCAACGAGGTTGAGACGGCGGAGAAGGAGCAGGCGGGCGTCGCGCTTTATCTCCTGTATTCTGCTCCTGTCTTAGGCATCCTGCTTCTTGCTCCTGCTCCTCCCTCTCCCAATGCTGATCACCCCTGGGTCTCCCTCCTGGCCCGCTGTTTCGCCGTAGTCGTCCTTCTCCTCTCCTGATGCCCCCCCCTCTTTTGCTCTGGATCCTGTCCCTTCTCCCTTTCGTTCTCCCTCCCCTCTTCTTCCCCCCTCCCCTCTTCTCCCACCCTCCCCTCTTCCCCTTGTCCTTCCTTTGGCTTCTCACTGGACAGGGGATGGCGCGATGGAGGAGCGGGAACGGAACGGCAGGATAACGCGTAATTGGGGGGGGGGGGATGCGAGGGGACAGATCAGGTCGACGGAGAAGGAGGAGGAGGAGGCGGTGGACCAGGTAACGGACGACGACGATGGTGATGATGGTGATGAGGATGATGGCGACGATGATGCTGCTGCTGACGATACTGATGATGGTGATGATGATGGCGATGCTTATGCTGCTGACGATGATGATGATGATGATGATGATGATGATGATGATGATGATGATGCTGATGCTGATGCTGATGCTGATGATGATGCTGCTGCTGATGATGATGATGATGATGACGATTGTGATGATGATGCTGCTGATGATGATGATTAAACTGATGTCGACGATGATGCTGATGTTGAATATGGTCATGCTGCTAATGATGATGATGATGATGATGATAATGATGATGATGCTGATGATGATGATGATGATGATGATGACGTTTGTGGTGGTGGTGATGATGATATGCTGATGATGGTGAGTGAGGAGGGGGAGGTGGATGATTATGGTGATGATGATGGTGCTGATGCTGATGCTGATGATGCAGATGGTGACGACTACATCGATGCTGAATATGGCGTATTATATTGACGATCGCGATGGTGGTGGCGGTGGTGGTGGTGATGATCATGCTTACGAGGATGATGGTGATGATGACGATGCTGATGCGGATTATGATAATGCTGTTGCTGATGCTGATGACGATGATGATGATGTTGATGCCGATGCTGGTGATGATGCTACTAGTGATGGTGATGCTGAGGATGAGTGTGATGCATGGTGATGGGGGTGCCTGCGATGGTGGTGGTGAGGTTGATGGTGATACGGATGATAATCAGTATGACGATGATGCTGATGATACTGCTGCTGATGATGTTGCTGATGCTGATGTTGATGATGATGCTGCTGCTGATGCTGTTGCTCGTGATGCTGATGCTTGTGATGCTGATGCTTGCGATGGTGATGATGATGATGATGCTGATGATGCTGTTGATGCTGATGATGATTCCGCTTATGCGGATGATGCTGCTGATTGTGATGCTGCTTATGATGATTTATGGTGTTGGTGATGCTTGTGATGGTGGTGATGGTGATGATGATGCTGCTGCTGGTGCAGATGGCGATGCTGACGCTGATGCTGATACTGATGATGATGACGATGCTGCTGATGATATTGCTGCTGATGATGATGATGATGATGGTGATGATGATGATGATGCTGATGATGATGATGATGAGGATGATGATGGTGATGGTGCTGATGTTGATGATGCTGATGATGATGCTGATGCCGATGATGATGCTGCTGATTATGATGTATGCTAATGCTGATTATGCATGATGATGACGTGGATGATAATGTTATGATGATGATTATGATGAAGATGGTGATGGTGATGGTGGTGTGATGCGATGGTGATGGCGGTGGTGTTTGTTGTGGTGATTCTGATGATGGTGGTGATGCTCATTATGCTGACGATGATGATGATGATGATGATGATGACGATGACGATGACGATGATGATGATGACGATGATGATGATGATGATGTTGATAATGCTGCTGATGCTGATGATGATGCTGCTGATTATGATGTATGCTGATGCTGATTATGCATGTTGATGGCGCTGATGATAATGTTATGAGGATGCTTATGATGAAGATGGGGATGGTGATGGCGGTGTGAAGCGATGGTGATGGCGGTGGTGGTTGTTGTGGTGATTATGATGATGGTGGTGATGATCATTATGCTGACGATGATGATGATGATGATGATGACGAAGACGATGATGATGCTGATGATGGTGATGATGCTGATGCTGATTATGATGCTGATGATGATGATGTTGTTATTGTTGCTGTTGTTGCTGCTGCTGCTGATGATGATGATGATGCGGATGCATCAAACAATTGATAAGGACAAGTTTGACTAGGTGATGATTTAGAGGGGGTAAATGGGTGGAGGATGAGGAGGGCGCGGGGATAGGAGGAGCATGATGTGCATGAGTAGCCTGGCGAGGAGGAAGAGATTGGGGAGGATGGGTGGGATCGAGTCGATCGGGAGGAGTGGGAGCAGGAAACGGATGTGGTTTGAACAGGTAGAGGCAGGAGGCGCGCAGCGGGACGGTTTAGGATAGGGATGAGGAGGAATAGGGGGATGTTGTCGATGAAGATGAGTAAGATGAGCATGGCGAGACGGGGACGATAGCGATTGCGAGAAGGTCCAGGCCGCCGTGTGCAGTTTCTTTTTTGGAACCGTTGGCCAGTAGTGGCCAGCAGTGGGCACGCGAGGATACTTGTTGCTTCTTGTTCCCTAGAGGCTTTTCGTTCTGGATGCACGGTATCGGACTCTTCCATGCAGTCTGGTGTCTCCAAGGCGTTTGCATTTTCACGGCGGCTCAGTTCGAGTTGCCGCAATGTCGAGCATGTATGCACACACGCATATTTGGGATGTACATCGGCACATGTTATACGTGATGATGTTAGCATGCGTCGAGGACGCTTTGCCATGCCTGCGCGCGCCCCCCCCCTTACTCGAGGACGTGAAGTACAAGACGCGGGACCGCATCCGAAGCCCAGACTCGCCTCCCTGAGCCTGCCTGTTCCCTCAAGTCATCACGACATCACTTTGCATCAACATCCAGACGCTTGCGCCATCGCTTTGACCGACATCCAGACACTTGCCCTTCCATCCCCTCCTCCTTTCCCCCATCTTCCTTCCTTCTGCCCCCCCTCCCCCTGGCCTGTTCTCCTCCCTCTCGCCAAATAGGTTCGAGCTATTCCCAGACTGTTGTCCGCAGTGGTGGTCGTTCGAGTCTCCTCAGTGTACTCCCCGCTTTCCTCTCCCCTGCCTCCCCCTTTTCTCCCCCGCTTCCCTTCTCGTTTGAACTCCATGGCACGAGGGGTGGCTGACATTGCGAAGTGTGCTGTTAAATTCTCGAACATGGCCGACCAACAAAGATGTCCCTGGCCTGTTGCGCGAGGGAGCTCTGGTCTGTAATCCATGATCTTTCTTTGAGCCAGCACAGTTTGCGCCATGATGATGGAATGGCCTCCGGCCAGCGCCGCCGATCCGGGGCTCTCCGGATGCTGGTGGTTGGCACTATGACGACGGCGACGACGACGACGATGACGACCTCGACGCCGACAACGGACGACTTACGACTAACGGGAGGAAGGAGGCGGGAGGCGGGAGGTGGGAGGCGGGAGGAGGGGGAGGGAGGAGGGAGGAGTGAGGAGGGAGGAGGGAGGAGGGAGGATGGGGGGATGAGGAGGCGGCAGAGGAGGAGGAGGAGGAGGAACAGCCGCATGAAGAGCAGGATGAGCAGGAGCACGAAGGAGGATGATGAGAACGAGGATGAGGATGAGGATAGGGCGAGGATGAGGACGAGGATGATGATGATGACGATGATGATAATGATGATGATGCTGACGACGACGATGATGATGAAGATGATGATGACGATGATGTTGATGATGATGATGCTGATGCTGATGCTGATGCTCCTGATTATGATGATGCTGATGATGTTATTGATGTTAATGCTGCTGCTGATGATTCTGCTGATTATGATGATGCTGATGATGGTCACGATGATGCTGCTGATGATGATGATGGTGATGATGATGATGATGATGATGATGCTGATGATGATGATGATGATGCTGCTGCTGATGATGCTGATGATGATGATGATGATGATGGTGATGATGATTGTGCTGCTGCTGATGATGCTGATGCCGATGAGTATGATGCTGGTGGTGGTGGTGGTGGTGAGGAGGAGGAGGAGGAGCTTTCCTTGAGCCAGCAAAGTTTGCGCCAAGATGCTTGGACGACTCAGAGCCCAGCCCGCCATACCGACTCGTCTGGCAGTGCGACCCGCAGAAGTCGTTACGAGGAAATGGGAAGAAGGGAAGAGGAGGAGGAGGAGGCGGAGGAGGACGTGGAGTAAGGAGGAGGCGGCGGGGTGGAGAAGGGGAAAAGAGGACCGACAGCATCGGAGCTTTGCTCGACACTACCTACAGCGTGAGCATGAGTAGGGAGAGCAGATGCATATGTGTAGAAGGAGGTGGAGGAGGAGGATGAGAGCCGCTGATCAGTCCCTCTGCGGACGGAACGGTCCCGCGTAGACCAGTGTTCGGCCGATTGGGGGTACGAGGGGGTTCTTGAGGGAAACGGGTCTTAGACCCAAGGGCCGCCCCAGGATCATCTTTTTCATCTTGACTGATACAACAAAACAAGCGTGGACCCCGACCGGTGATGTTCGCAATCTATGTGGTGCAATCTAGGTGGGGCAATTGACTACGCTGCACCGCGCTTGACCACTCCACTGCTCGCGCAAACATCCCACCCACCCACCCGCAACTTGGTTCGCAAACTCTCTTAAGACCGTGACGGTGGGTACCATTTGGCACTTGCCAACGACAGCGACGCCGACGACGACAGCGACAACGACGACGACGACGCCGCCGACAACGACTACGACGACACCGACGACGTCTCCAACGACTTCGACGACGCCGACAACGACGACGACGACACCGACGACGACGACGCCGACGCCGACGACGACGACGATGACAACGACGACGACGATGACGACGCCGACGACGACGACAACGACGACGCCGACGACGACGACGACGACGTCAACGACGCCGACGACGACGACGACGACGGCGGCGACGACGACGACGCCGACAACGACGACGAAGACGACGACGACGCCGACGACGACGACGAAGACGACGACGACGTCGCCAACGAAGACGACGACGAGGGAGGAGGGAGGACGACGACGGCGACAACGGCGACAACGACGACAACGACGAGGGAGGAGGGAGGACGGCGACGACGCGAACGACGAAGAAGGAGGAAGGACGGCGACGCCGACGACGGCAACGACGAGGGAGGAGGGAAGACGACGACGACGACAACGACGACGACGACGACGACGGCGACGAAATAGGAGGGACGACGACGAGACGCCGACGACGGACGACGACGACGACGAGGGAGGAGGAGGAAGGACGACCACGGCGACAACGACGACGGAAACGACCACGACGCCAAAGAGGACGACGACGACGAACACGAGGAAAGACAGAGGACGACATAGGCGACGACGACGACAACGACGCGGGAGGAGGGAGGACGGCGACGACGACGACGACGACGCAAGAGCGCGCGCGCACGTTTTTGTTGAAAATCCGTGTTGCGAAACCTTGGGTTTTTGTAGGTTTTTTGGACGCGCGATTTCCAAATCCTTCCGAAACCGATTGGTTTTGAAGGATTTCGGCGTACGCGCGCGACCACGCGCGCGTCTGCACTTCGTCTTTTTTTGCAGAGGATTCTCGCGACGGCACACGCGCAAGGGCGTTCGACAGATTTCGACATGCGCGCGCGCGAAGCCCGTTTGGTAGCTTTTTGTGAAAGTCTTGAAAAACGCTTGGTTTTCTTAAGATTTCGCAAGAGCTCGCGCGCAAGCTCTTTTAGCAAATCAGTGTTGCGAAACCATGTGAGTTTTTTTTTTTTTTTTTTTTTTTTTGAAACTCGATTGCGAAATCCTTCTGGCACCGCAGGTTTTTGAAGGATTTCGGCATGCGCGCGCGACGACGCGCGCGTGTGTGCACTTCGTTTCTTTTTTTGCAAGGGATTCGTGAAAAAGTGATATGTTAGAGCAAACAATGTCACCGCGTAGTGTTTTTTTAGCAAGGGACCCTCAGGGGGGGGGAACCGGCCTGCCTGGGATGGTATGATTTCATGTTTAGGATGGACGAGTGTGCAGAATATATATATATATATATATATGTGTACATATATTTACACATATATACATATATATACATATATATATATATATGAAATTATATTTTCCCAGGGGGAAGCGTTAAGTCTGGGGGGGGGGGGGGGTAGCGTCTATTCTCTTTTTAGAAAGGAGAATTCACTTTGATCGTCTTAAAGCTGTCCTCTCCAGTGCTCGTGCAGACATCGCACCCTCCCACCCGCAACTTGGTCGCAAGGCCTCTTAAGACCGTGACGGTAGGTGCCGAATGGCTCTCGAACAGCGACACAAACGCCGACGACGACAGCGACAACGACGAAGACGACGCCGACGACGACAACGACGACACCGACGACAACTCCGACGACGACGACACCGACGACGACGACGCCGACGACGACTACGACGACGACGATAACGACGCCGACGGCGACGACGCCGACGACGACGACGTCGACGACGGCGACGCCGACGACGACGGCGACGACGCCGACGACGACGGCGACGACGCCGACGACGACGACGGCGAAGACGACGACGACGAAAGCGCTTGATCGATGTTAAGGGAGTTCGACGCGCGCAGAAAAGTTGCTAGCATGACCGAAATATTGAAACACCATTGCTTGTTTAGAGTTCGGACAGCGCGCGCGGGTGGACAATTTGATTTTCCATCTGATGTTTCCGAGGAAGTATGGTACGATTCGTGTGTTTTCATGGAGCTCGGCCTTGAAATTGTTGACAGTACAGTGTGTGTTGGAAGGAATTCGACATGCGCGCTCGGCGGCCGCGCGCATGTGCCGCGCATGTTTTTTTACAAGGGATTGTGGCCCTGGCAGGCGCATGACCGATGTTGAAGACGTTCGACGCGCGCGCATAAGTTACTCGCGTGACAGGAATGTTGAAAAACATTTGTTGTCTTCCGATTCGGGAAGTGCGCGCTGGTAGTTTTTTTTGAAGACTTGCACATCAATGTCGCCCTTTAGTTTTATTGGGCAAGGGAACCAGGGGGGACTCATACCGGCCTGGCTTGAATCGTATGATTTCACAGGTAGGATGGACATTGGGTCAGAATCATATGTATGTTTTTTGCATCGACTCCCGAGGAGTCGATAAGTCCGGGCGGGGGGGATGGTGGTATATTTTTAAAGGCAGGAGAATCCACGGGGTGCAATCTAGGTGGTGCAAGTCATCGCCGCACTTGAGGTTGTCAACTCCAGTGCCCGCGCAATCATCCCACCCACCCGCCCGCAACTTGTTTTGCAAAACCCATGCGGAAACGATTGCAATGAGTGCTGGGTGTTGGCTGGTGCATCTCTGAGGCCGCGCTAGCCCGCGCATTCTTGCGCGCGCAGCGGCCAGCTAGTTTGCCACGACCGACGCGAACGCGGCGGCGCTAACCGTTCGGCACATTCCAGCATGTACTTCGGTGCCAGTTGGGGACTTGGGCGGGCGCGGTATCATGGCAACGTCGACAACGGTAGACACGATGCTGGTAGTTGCGATGCTGATGACGGTGCTGACAGCGACGACGGGGCAGTCAGTGACGGCGCCGATGCTGATCACGCCGACGACGATGACGGCGTCTTCGTGTCGGTAATACAGGTTTTGGAAAGAGTTCGAAATGCGCGCGCGGCAGACGCACGAGAGTTCTCTCGCGTGGTATTATTTGACACAGATCGTGCCACCCCAGCCCTCGCGCAAAGGGCGTTCGAACCATTTCGACTTGCGCGAGCGCGAAACCCACTTGGTACCATCTTATGACACATGTTGAACAC